CATAAAATTAGTAGAATTTAATATATTTCAAGTCAAGTAGAATTTTTGCCAAAAATGTGGTCATTAAAGAACGAGAATAACAGTAGACAACAAATTAATAGAAGTCCAAATAACTTATCTTATGACCAACTTTAAAGTTTTGCAGACACACTGCTCATCAAGGCCAGAAAAAATATATTGTTTAGAATTTGGAGAAGAATGCTCAGTATTATAGATATAGACAGTGTGAACATAGGAATCAACACTACATGGTAACTCAGTTTCATACCTTGGTGCAATCTTCAGGCCAAGTTCCACTACTCATTTAGTGGCCTATATATAGAGCCCACACCTGTATTGGTAGCATAACCATTCTTGAAATGGAAAGTGGAATCGGTAAGTTGAATTCAAATTCCAGCCTAGTCTGTCATGTTCACATGCACAGAAATATCTTTGGAAAAGGCATGAATCCATCTCTTCTCCCTAACCCAGCTGTTAAATAGCAGGATATGATCTTATTTTGATAGACTCTCTGGCTTTGTGTGGCAGCCAAGCTGGGAGAAGACCTATGAATTCTAAATTGTGGAGAAGACAACAGGAAACCACTTTGCTATCTTTCTCAAGAGAAAAGAATATATGGAGAGTCATGATTGCTTACATTCTGAAGGAATATATTAAAAAAACAAAAAGCTGCTATCACATGTAATTTTACAATCTTTGGTAAAAAAATCTATTAAGCACCCAAAATCTATTTAATGCTCACAAGTTGACTCCATTGACTACAACTTTCTGTTGAGATTTCATGAAATAATTCTGATTTAAAAATCATTAAAAATAAAATACTCAAAGCATGTTAACACAAGACAAAAAAATAAGTAATGTAAAAAAAATCTGGTCTCACTACTTTCTAATGAGATATTCCATTGTTATAGTAAAGCAAGTTCACTTTAAGTAGCATCAAAAATGCATCGTATTATAACAGAATTTCTCATTAAGAAAGGTTGTATAACTGATAAATATATAAAGTTACATTACATTGTGTTTTATATATATTAAGATCATGTAACCACTTTTTTTTCTATTTTGGTTTCTGTTAACATGAATACTATTTATGTGGTTGAAAGTTAAAAACAAAGAATATATTAAAAAATTTGAATTTAGTTTAAGAAAAAATATAATCGCTTAAATAGCAATTATTCATGAATGGAAACAAAAATATAATGAATGTTAATTGACTGATCAAATCTGTCTAAACAGTTTAATCAATAGTGTCACAAAATTTAATTGAATTTATCCTCAGATATTTAGTTCTTGGCTATTATTAACATCAATTTATTTTCCTAATTGAATGAGTGAATAAAAGTTAAATAGAAAGAAAGTAGAATCAATTAGTGATATTCCTTTTGGTGTATCAGCTCTTTTGCAGACAATGTTCAGCCATCTTAAATTTTACATTTCAATTATCAGTAAACATATGAACTAATAGGCTGTCCCACATTTCAATCTGTTTGTTTCACAATCCTCACATTTGTTAAAAATAAATATTTTATACTCTTATAACAAAATTTACAAAGGTATTCAGTTAGTTATGTGCCATGCATGATACACGCTTAGGCAATCATGTATCTTTTGATACATAACTGATGAGGCAGATTTTTTTCTCCAATAGTTTGCCATTTCTTTCTGCAGTAGACCAGTTGCCATCCAAGGCTATAGAATCTGGTCTGTCTTGCTATCTACCCATAACTGGGTCGAGAAGAAGAGGATTCATACCTTTCCTAAGGGTATTAGCGCATAAGTGAATGTAATGGATTCAACTGGAATTTGAACTCAGCTCTCTGATTCCTCAATCTGAACCGATATCTATTACTCCACCATGCCTTCAAATGAATTACCATTTATATTATACTGGGAGCAAACTGCCTACGTACAGATAGAAAATAAATTGTGTAGTTACACAAAAATAGAGGCATAAGACAAGGATGTGTCTTCACACTGGATTTATTCAACTTCTACAGCAGGCCTATCCTAAGGGAGCTGGAGACCCTACCAACATTTATTATCATTGGGTGTAATCTTAACAATATAAGATACACAGATGACAGTGTTGATAGCAGAAACAGAAGATAAACTACAGGACCTCCTAAACAAGGTTGTAAAAGTAAGCAAAACAAAATGACTAACCATTTACTGTAAGAAGACTAAATATATAGTTGTCAGCAAGAGAAGAAGCCCAAGATGGGAACTACAAATAGGAGATGTCAGCATCAAACAATTACAGCAGATTAAATATCTGGAAAGTGTTTTAATAGATGATGGAAAATGCAACACCAAAATTCGAATGCACATTGGAATAGCATTCCAAAAGCTAAACAAAATACTAAGAAAATTTCATTAGAAACAAAAAGAGATGTGCTGAACTGTTATGTAATAGCAATTCTCTTATATGGAACAGAATGCTGAACAATCTCCTCACAGAAGAGAAAACATGAAGCAAGAGAAATGTATTTCTACAGAATGATGCTGAGAATACCATGAATGAAGTGTTTAAGCAACAAAGAAGTCTAAAAGAAAATGGAAACAAAAAAGACATTTATATTAAGAATCAGAAAGAGACATCTGAAGGTTCTTGGACACAAATTGAGGAATGAAGGCTTGGAGAATTTGACATTCACAAGATATATCAACGGTAAAAAGGACAGGGGAAAGCAGTGGGTTATGTACCTGACAAACTTATGTGAAGAGATGGTACAGTGTGTGAGGCTTGGCAAAGGCACAAATGTTGCTAAGATCTACAAGGGATAGGGGATTGTGGAGAGCCATGATCGTCCACACTCTGAAAGGACACAGCACTTAGATAATTTCTCTTTCTTCTTCTATCTATCTGTCTATATATCCATCTACCTATATATCTTACATAAAATGTGGGTCACAATCCAAAAGAGAAAATATTAAATAAAGCTTTACCCACTTTAAAAGATAAAAGGGGTAAAGGAGTAATAAAACTCAAGACCATTAACCTATTTGTCTTTCTTACATCTCCATTTCTTCTCCTTTTTCTTTCACCTACTTTATTTTTGTTTTATGGGAGCTTTCTTATTTTTCATCCTTTCTCCTCTCTCTTGCTTTTCATTTTTGCATTCCCTTTTACGCAAATGCTCTCAGAAAAGACACTTCTTCCACCATCTATGGGTTATATAGCAGGGTAGACTGTGCTCTCTCTAGCCCTGAGTGAAAAAAAAAGTCCAAGGAAAAGGAATCTCTGAATTTCAAACTATGGAGAAAGCAACAGGAAGCAATTCATTATCTTATATAACAATTCATGGCGTTTCATAAATAAAGAAAATAAATCTGTGGAGAGCTATGATTGCCTCCATCCTGAAAGAACATGGAATTAAGACAAAAACCAAAAAACCAAACTCTATGCTCCCATATATAAAGACTATTATTATTTAATGGCGTCCATGAAACAAAGTGTCTTGTAAGATAGATTGGCAAATATGCTAATTTATCTATCTTGTTATTCTTTTTTACTTCACTCCCAACCCAAACTCCCACACAAACAAGTCATTTGCACTTGTTTATACTTATACTCTATAAAGAATAATGAAGCAGTGCAATTATTTTCTGTTATTACTAATTTTTGAATATGTAGGTAGTGTTGTGATTATCAGCAGGGAAAACAGACTTGGTTAGCTGGGTTCAAATTCCAGCTTAGTCTGTTATGTTCACTTTCACATTAATGTTGTTGAGAAACTATTATTCCCTCTATGGGCTAAATAGCAGGGCAGACAGGGTTCTCTAGCTTTTGATGGTAGCTAGTCTAGAAGAAAGTCAACTCTTAATTCAAAGCTGTGAGGAAGGGAATGGAAAACTACTTCACTAACTTATCCAAGAAGTCATGGCAATTCATAAATAAAGAAAATAAATCTGTAGAGAGCAATGGTTGCCTACAACCTGAAGGGACATGACATTAAAATAAAAATCAAATAGAAACACCACATATTTTCATGAGGAAACAAACAATTTCCCTATCATTAGAGTGTTATTGATAAGCTAAATAATGAGGCCCTTCTTAGGGATAGTCAGTTAAATTGATCACTGTTCTATAAATAAAAAGCACTAACTGATCACCTAATCTTGGCTAGACTCTATTAGAATTTTGGAGTTTTTCACAATTGTTACAGGTTGCCTGTCAAGTTGTTGCAGAGGACATGTAGAGAGCTCTCAGGGCAATGCTAATAAAAATTTAGGTTGTGTCATGCACAATAAAACCCTCACTCAAGTCACATGCCAAGATGAGATAATGGCAACATGGACTCAAGGGTGTAGGTTTTCTGTTGGAGGTCCCTTCTTATAGACATAAAGGCTGATGGGAGTAGAAATATCTTCTTTTAGGTTCTGTTGTTTTATCAACTTTTATTCACAGATGTAATTTTAACTGTAATTTTAACTCATTCTTCATGGCCTTTGAAGTAAAGAGTTAAAAAAGTTATTCTTTTTAAATAAAAGTAAATACTGCCCTGGATTACTAGAATAAAAGGTCATCTTTGTCAAACAGTTGAAAAAAAATTTTCCTTTCCTCAATCATTAAAAAAATCTCAAATTTGACATTAACTTCCACACAGGAAGTTTATTTTAAAACCAGACAAATGATATATAGGTTTATTGTAATACATCATTGGCCTCTGACCAAGGAAATTTGATTTTACTTATATAATGCTTATATAATATTATATAATATATAATATTATATAATATTATATATTATATATAATATTATAATATATATAATATATTATATTATATATATATAATATATATAATTATTATATATAATAATATATAATATATTATATAATATATATATATATAATATTATATATATAATATTATATAATATATAATATTATATAATGCTTATATCAATCCTGAACATTTACTGAGAAAAATAAAACATCTGCATATGGATAAAAAAATATTGAGTTAGTACATAAAAATAGAAATTAGCATGACATTGTGTCTCATCCAATCACTGAAGTTAAGCAACATCAAGCTTAGTTAGTACCTGGATGGGTGACTACTTGGAAATATCAAGTGCTGTAATCTTGGATGTGTGGGTTGTATAATGGATAACAGCTCAGAATAAAAAAAAAATGGATAGCCATGTTTGAATTCCAGTCAGGTTCATTACATTCACTTATATGCAAATACCCTTGGGAAAGATATGAATCCATCTCTTCTCCCCTGACCTTTCGGTAAGGAGCAGGACAAACTGGGTCCTATAGCCTTGGGTGGCAACCAGCCTATGTGAAGGAAAAACTCTAAATTCAAAACCATTGCTCAGAAAACATCAGTATTACTGCAGTATATGTGGTGCCTTTACGACCACAATTCAGGAAATTTCTCAATATTCTTTGTTAACCCTAGAACACTAAACATGGGTATATAGTACCCAGTGCAAATTTTCCTATTTTTAATTACAATTTTCATTACCTGATTTTCTTACCTAAATAATGTTTTTCAGTTCCTATTGATGTTAACTCAAAGTACAAAGTCTGAAGTGCCTGCATGTAAAATATTTCAAATAAAGATTTATATTTGATATTTTTTTTGATATTTTCAAAATCAGGTATGATATACCCATGGTTAGTAGTGGTTTAACTTTAATTGATGGTTAGTGTTCTAGGGTTAAATCCTGACCTTTCATGGAGGCATAGTGGTATAATGGATAGCAGATCAGATTGAGGAATGGAAGAGCCGAGTTTGAATTCCAGTCAAGTTCATTACATTCACTTATGTGCAAATACCCTTGGGAAAGCTATGAATTCATCACTTCTCTCCCCATCTATAGTTTAAATAATAGGACTTGTATCTGAAAATCCTTATTATCTATAAAAGAATTAAATATTCACTTGCAAAAAAAAAAAATTCTTAGAATCCAATATGCTTCAGCTTTAAATAACCTACAAAATGTTGATAAGTCATAAAAACACAAATCAATCAATCAATCAATTAATTTACAGCAAGCAAATCCTAAGAGAACTAAAAGCCTTACCAGGATTTATTATTGGTGGGTACAATCTTAACAATATAAAATATGCAGATATCACTGTGTCGATGGCAGACATCGAAAGTAAACTGCAGGAATACCTAGAAAAGGTAGTAAAGGAAATCAGGAAGAAAGGACTAACTATCAACTGTAAGAAGACAGAACATATAGTTGTCAGCAAGAGGAACAGTCCAGAATGCAAGTTACAAATTGGAGATGTCAAAATCAAGCAAGTACAACAATCTAAATATCTATGAAATGTTTTAACTGAGGATAGAAAATGTTACACTGATATTTGAATGTGCACTGAAATAGTAAAAGGTGCCTTCCAAAAGCTAAGCAAACTATTAAGAAACATGAAAGTTCATTATAAACAAAGAGTACTGAACTGCTATGTAATATCAATTATCCCATATGGCAGTGAATGCTGGACAATTTCTTTGCAGATGATGAGGAAACTTGAGGCAATAGAGATGTGATCCTACAGAAGGATGCCTAGAATAACATGCATGGAGCATGTGAGCAACAAGGAAGTTTTAAGTAGAATGGAAAAAAATACTCATACTTAGATCTTAGGTCATTGAAGTTTCTATAGTACATAATGAAGAAAGAAGGCATGGAAAATTTGGTACTCACAGGATATATTGCAGGACAGAGGGAAAACAGCATCTTATGTTAGTAAATAAATTATTTTTTTAATAAACCTAAATTTGTACATGACTTATTACCAGATATATGACAAGTTTAGTCCAGACTAATAAAAAGGTTTTCTGAACAAGAACACAAATATACATTTGCAATTTATTTTCATAAATATAGATCAAATTAAAAAAAAGAATTTTAATTTGGAAATATCTTACATTTTTTTATTACAACTTTAAAAATTTTTTATGTTGAATTCATTATAAATAATGAGTGTATTTTGTTCATATTTGGTAAAATCTTTAAGTTTTGCATCATATCGTAGAATGAAGTAACTTTTAATTGGTACTTCCTTCAAAGACAAGTTTTCCAATGAGAGTGCTGTGTTATTCTATATATATTTTATATATAAACACATCATTTCACTGGAGGAAACAACACTTGGCCTATGCTTATTCTAAGTTATTACAGTAACCTGAAATGCAACTTTATTTTTATTGTACTTGTTTTTATTGGAAAAGCCAGAATAGCATAGGCAAACATAACTACTAAAGATAAAAAACAAAGCAAAGCAAATAAACTAGAATATGTAATGAATTGACAGTGAAATTTTAAGTCCATGTGTAAAATGTTATGACCAGTCATTTTCAAATTCATCTTTATCATAATGTATGAAAAAGCAGAACTGATTAAAAATGACATGGATTTGTTGTTTGTGAAGAAAAGCTTTAAAAATCCATATAAATTAAGATTTGGTAAAATGAATAAATTACACAGATTTAAATTATAGAAAACACATTATGAAAATATATTCTATTAATTAATCAATTTCAAACAATAAAAACATCGTTTTATTGAAAATTATTCGTAAGATATGATATTCCTACTAAGTGGATACCAACTTAAAATAAAATTTAATTAACTTATAATTTACAGAGAAAGATAAAATTTAAAGACAGTATTTAAAACATATATCAACTTATTAATTTTTAAAGTTACATTTTTTTAGCCTATATAGCTACTAAGTTATTAGAAATTTTATTCTTTTCAAGTAATATACATTCAAATAGAAATGAGAATTTTTCTGTTAAATATTCATATGCATTTTGTGTCTACAGCTATGTACACATGCCAAGTATAATTAAAAGGACAACACATCAAGTAGTCAGTTTGCAGATGTAACAGTTTGAGTTGAAGTAGTAAGAGGAGTCAGTAAGAGATCTTACTGTATCTAGTTTATTTCTTGTTGTATGAAAACTGTCTTAATAAGAAGAAACAGTACTAAAAAAGGGAAAAACAATTTTCCTAAAACACGCCAACAATTTCTTAATTATAAGATTTTGAACTTACACTTTTACATCTGTTTTCTTCTTTTCCTTTTCTTTGTTGACAAGTTGAATATTTTTACAAGTCCAATTTTTTACCCTCTCAAACTTTCACAAATTTAAACACTTTTAATAAAGCCTATTTCTGTCAACTATAACTTATGACTACTATATAACTAAATCACACATATATAAAATACAATGTGGTAAATATGAAAGACAATTTGGAAAAATTTTGATATTTTGCTGATCAAAAATTTTTCATCATCAGAAAAATGGATTTTATTTCAACCAAATCTACATTGGTAAGACAGAACATGATTCACATATGAATGCTGGATTTTTTTCTCATCCAAATTTAAATCAAAATGCAATGTTTATCCATATATGCATTATTTGTAACCACCAGAAGAATCTATTACATCTAGACAGACAATTTGCCAATCCCTATATCTTGGAATCTTCTGATGATATAGTGAAAATAGAATTTTAAAAAATTTTAAACTTAACAAATTAGAATGTAATATATTTTCTTTTATGTCTTAAATTATTTTTAGCTTGCAGATTATCTTTAGTCAACTTGCAAACAAATTGATAATGATTTTGTAATTGTATTCTGCTTATAAAATATCAAAAACTTATATACCACAGTCTTTTTTTAATGACATGTATGGGTTTAAAATTCATACACTCCCAATCTCTTAAGGAATGAACTGACTGACAAACTAAGTTTTACTTGGATTTGAACTCTCAACCAATGGCTGTAACACCAGATACACAACTTGCAACTAAAACATTGTGATATCAAGTCATGACATGTCTGTAAAGTTATAATGTTATAAATTTATCTACAGTTCACATATGTTGTGAAAAGTGGAAAAGATACTCAATAAAATATCAGCTTTGATTTATAAGTTTGTAATCTTGGAGAAAGTATTGGGTTGCTCCTATTTTTATTCTAAGATTTATTGGATACAAACCATAATGCCAGATTGGCTCTGCAAGAGAATGGTGTTATTCTATTTCAGTAACATGCTGGTTACACCCAGAATAACTGGTACTTAAAATGTCATTGAATGGCACTTTAGGTTACTTCAAATTCTTAAGTGGTACATTGTCATTTGAGGAAACTTTCATTGGCATATTGATCACACTTTCAAGTTATTTTTTAAGATATTTATTTCTTGTGAGTATGGTCAGGTTGATTTTGTTTAATGGCATATCAACCTCTATGGGTTATTTAATGGTGAAATCTAAAGATTTTGTACACAATTTTATGACTACAGCTACAGATATTTGAATGCAATTTTATGCCTTAAACTACACATAATTTTATACTTTCAGGGTAAATGTATGTTTTTTTAGATATATAGTGTATAAGGGATAAAATGTATTGTTGGTATTTTTTTAAGTGTATTGTTGGTAATTTTATTATAAAAATGTATTTTTATATTTTTTTAGTTTTGCAGCAATTATCATTTTAAAAGTCATTTTTTTTGGCAAACTTTTTTTTTTTAATAAATATTAATATTTTTATAATATTAATATTTTTACTATAAAAATATATTTATATATATATATATATATATATATATATATATATATATATATATATATATACATCCACAATTCCCCAGGTCAGGAAGGTGGACCTGGGAACAACAGCAATTAAGAGGTGCTTCCATGTTCCTCAAAAGTGCCAATCTCCCAATCAGAGGCCTTGTTGCTAGATGTATTGTGAGTATCAAGGATTTTATAAGACTCAGCTCAACATGAGCTATTTCTTCTTTTCCACTTTCAAGTGATATTTTTCTTCTTTTACGTACTAAAATCTAAGTGTTGGTATAAATTTGAAATTCTGGAACCAACAGGTCAAAACTTTAATGCTGTAACCAAATCCTAGATGTTTTCTGAGTTACATTTGTAACTTAAAGACATGGATACTGAAATGTTCTTTGACTCACCTGTTAAAATCTGATTAAATGACCCAACATCAGCATCTTTTTAAAAATCCCGACTTGGTTGAACTGAGAACTTTTTAGCACCCCCTCTATTTTTTTAAATTGAAGTTTACCGTTTCATAATTTT